ATACCCCCCACACTCCTCTCCTGTACATACTGCCCCCTCATCATATTGTCCTTGGATACTCCTCCTAGTTCCCGGGGCTCCACTATGCGTGTGAGCAGTGTTTTACATGCGGGTGACACCTTTCTATGTTCCATGTTTCTGTCTCCTTGCGTTGGGTCGGGATTGGTCGGGTTTGTACATTGGGGGAGATGTTGTGCAATCAGTGGCTCTGTCAGGAGAGAAGTATGGAGGCCGCCATTGCTGAACGTCGGTTGCCTGGCTGTGTCTAGATTTTCGGGCTCCTTAGTCCCGGCACACTGTAAGTTGGTGTCAGACTTTCTTCTCTCCGTTCTTGTTCCATGTCAGAGACTCAGAATGACGGCCAGGGAACGAGCATTCTTCAGCCATGGAAGCTCCTCACATTGTACTCGTGACTTTCTATCAATTATTTTGTAACATGAGAGATGTTCTGTAGCTTCCTGTGATGACAGGATGTGAAGGGAAATCTCCCCACAAGGGACAGGCACCGATAATCACACACAGGGGATCTCGGCCTTCTCTGTCCTGCACACAAGATTACGCTTTGGCTCCAGTTGGGTTTTAAGACCAAATCACCCAATACATGCGTATTCATTGTGGGTGGGCCTCTACCTTTCATGATGGACAGCTGCTCTGCCCCATCCCCTAGTCCCTACAAGGTCTCCAGGGCCAGCCATGACCTTTACATAGGGCAGCACAGACATTTGGATTCCATCTTGATGTGTCCAGTAGAATCATCTACCGTGAAGACCCAAATGGAAGATCTCATGGGGGAAGGAAGGAGGAGACGAAGCTGAAACATGACAAACAAGACAATGAGACTTATTACCCTTCTGGCCTTCCTCCGGGTCTCTCTTCTCCACCTCTGAGCTCTGTGGTAAGACAGATGTTTCCTCCGATGGGGCAGTTATGTTTTCGGGTGTTTGATCAGGAGGTGGAGCCTCTCCAGACACAATTCCTGACACATCGGTCAAAGTGACGGACTCTGGTGGAGCCTCAGAACCTTCTGCTACAGCTGGATCTCCAACCACTGCAAGGAAAAGAGACTACTGAGAGAAACGGGTCACCTGACCAGCACAGCTGGCTGCCATTGAAGGGAAGCAATTCTAGTTATGGAGCAAACTGCAACTCGGCTCATGTACCTTCCCCCGAGTAAGCACCCACCTCCGAAAGCTGGTAAGCCCCAGAGTAAGCACCGCCTCTGAACGTTGGGAAGCCCTAGAGTAAGCACCACCTCTGAAAGTTGGGAAGCCCCAGAGTAAGCCCCACCTCCGAAAGTTGGGAAGCCCCACAGTAAGCACCGCCTCTGAAAGTTGGGAAGCCCTAGAGTAAGCACCGCCTCTGAACGTTGGGAAGCCCCAGAGTAAGCACCGCCTCTGAACGTTGGGAAGCCCCAGAGTAAGCACCGCCTCTGAAAGTTGGGAAGCCCCAGAGTAAGCACCGCCTCTGAAAGTTGGGAAGCCCCAGAGTAAGCACCGCCTTTTGGGAAGTAGCCGGCTTGCCTGTGACAGATAACATTTAGAGGTGGAGTATCTTCATACCTGGAGCTGGTGGCGGTACCACCTCTGCGGGTGACCACATGGTCAGGCTGGTGATCTTCTCCGCGTACCATTTTGTTGCCGGCACTGCCAAAGGCTCCTCCTCTTCATCTTCCTCCTTTTCCTGGCACAGGAGAAATGGAAGATGTGTCACTGTGTTCACTAACTCTCCTCAGAGACTCGTAGTACGGAGCCCATGAGCAGAGGCGGCTCTAGAGTTTGCGAGGCCTTAGGCAAAACCTAAACATGAGGCCCCACTCAGGCCTGTGGGGTCTCACCAGGGCCCTGTGGGGTTTAGCCAAGCTGGTTAGACCCCACAGAGCCCTGGTTAAAGTAGGGCTCTGTGGGTTCTCACTATTCCTGGTTAAACCCCACAGAGCCTTGGCAAGACCCTACAGAACCCTTGTGTTGGTGAGACCCTAGAGAACCCTGGTTTAACCAGGGCTCTCTAGGGTCCCACCAGGGCTCTTTGGGGTCTCACCAGGGCTCTGTGGGGTCTCACCAGGGCCCTGTGGGGTTTAGCCAAGCTGGTTAGACCCCACAGAGCCCAGGTGAGACCCCAAAGAGCCCTGGTGGGACCCTAGAGAGCCCTGGTTAAACCAGGGTTCTCTAGGGTCTCACCAACACAAGGGTTCTGTAGGGTCTTGCCAAGGCTCTGTGGGGTTTAACCAGGAATAGTGAGAACCCACAGAGCCCTACTTTAACCAGGGCTCTGTAGGGTCTCACCAGGGCCCTGTGGGGTTTAACCAGGAATAGTGAGAACCCACAGAGCCCTACGTTAACCAGGGCTCTGTGGGGTCTCACCAGGGCCCTGTGGGGTTTAACCAGGCTGGTGGGACAACCAGAGAGCCCTGGTGAGACCCCACAGAGCCCTG